GAAATAGTCAAGCAACAACCAACCTAAATTCTAACAAGATATCAACTTAGCATGCATCACATAACTCATCATTATACATATCACATAACTCATCATTACATATCAATATCTCGACACGAAGTCCATGACAACTTGGGCTGGCCATCACCTCGAAAGGTTGTACGCCACTTTTGGCTCGTCAGCCGGTTTACGGGCTTTAACGGGATCGCCATGTCCTCGCCCTCAGTCCGACATCACACACCACACCTCACATATTACATATTACTTTATATAATAAACATAACTACCATGCCATGGTCACAACTTAACATTTCATTCAACACTCAATCACTATTCTTAGACCAAGCATACATGCTCATTAAACCATAATATTGCATAACATGAATCTACAAATCCCAACCCTCACCTTAGAAATAACGTCCAGAAACTAAGTTTGGAAGAAAAGCAGTTGAAACGCTACTCTTGGCGGTCTGAAACTCCAAAAATAGCGATTCTAATATGCGTCTATACGTTTTAGAGCAAATTAGGGTTTCTGGATTTTGGCAGGCTAAGCATTATTTGATCNGAAAGCAACACCAATAACTCACTGATTTTATACCGTATCTGGAAACAGAGACTTGATCTGGAATCCTTGCAACAACACCTTTCCAGAGACACCAAAACCGGGATCAGATACTCTCTGAATCGACGGGAAATCTCCTCCCAAAAACTGCTCCTCGAAACTAGAAAACAGATAATTATGAGACAGTTTTTCTTATGCAGAAACAGCAACGCATGGCCAACTTCAATTACGATTTTCGGACTCGTCTTACCTCGGAATCAGGATCCGAAAGATGCTGTAGAAACCTTGAATCAAGATCTATCCATACGTGTACGGGATGTCGTCTGAATCGTTACGGTTTGTTCGGAAATCGACCCGCAAAGTCACTGCTCGTAATAGCCTTCCTTTGCTCCTCCTTTCCCTGGTCTTTCCGGTCACCGGAGCTCACGACTGACACACTCAACAGCGGTGGCGGCTAGGTCACGAGTGAAAAAGGGCAGAGCTTCGCTACAAGGATGATCTCTACTCCTCCCTCTTTGGCGTTATCAATAAATAGAGGAAGAGTGTGGAGAGAATTAGGGTTTCTAGGGGATATATGGACCACTCGAAATGGGTCATAGGATTTGGGAGTTTATTTAGGCTAGGGCCATGACAGAATGTCTCTCAACATTCTTACCCAAAAAAATGAATGTCGGATTAGAACTTTCCCAAGCCAAGAATGATGAATTTTGTTTCTTCTTATCAGCATGATTGGTTAACAAATTAAATGGACAAAAAACTTCTTAATTATGCAATGTCCACGGAGAAGAGAGTATATATATAATCTATATCTATAAAGTAACATTTTCTCACTTCTCCTTAAGCCACTTCATCATCCACATCACA